TGGTTGGGATGTAGGGGCGCAGCAGGCTGGCGTGGAATGATGGGATGATGTACCAGTCTGTCGACAAGAGTAAGTGGGCGGTCGCTGGGGTGATTGTGTGGCTCATTTGGAATGGTCCACAGTAGCGTGGTCGTAATTTTGGTACGACGGGCTGTCTTAAGTTTTGGGTGTCGAGCAGTACGTAATCTCCTGACTGGTATGTGACTGGGCGGCGGTGGCGGTCAGCGTTGCGTTTAGCGATGGCATTTGCTTTTTTAATGGCTTCGGCGGCTCTGGTGCGGGCAGCTTGCGGAATCTCGGCGAATTGCTATATACGTGGCGTTGGGTTGTCCGGACTCGGCGTCATGGGCACTGTAGGGTTTTGCCCGTAGTTCAGGTAGAACGGGGACTGCTGCGTCGTCGCTGACGTGGCGTTATTGTAGGCGAACTCGATCAGCGGCAGCTGCTGCTCCCAAGTTGTCGGGTCGTCACATGTGGCCCGAATCAACTGCTCCATGGTCTGATTGGTCCGCTCCGTTTGACCGTCGGTCTCGGGGTGGTACGATGAACTGAACTGTAGCATGGTCCCGAACTGCTCCCAAAGGTTCTTCCAAAAATTGCTGGTGAACTTCGTGTCGCGGTCGCTGATTACCGCGGCTAGTATCCCGTGCAGTCGAACGACGGCTACGATGAACAGGCGAGCGGTTTCTTCGGCTGAGATCAATTTCTTGCACGCAGCGAAGTGTGCCATCTTTGTCAACCTATCAACGACGACTATAACCGCGTCGTTACTTCCAGGGTTCGAAGGTAACCCCGTGACGAAATCCATAGTAACCTGCTGCCAGGCGCGCTCGGGCGGTGGAATCGGCTGTAATTGACCCGCCTTTCGTTTTGCGAGCTCTTCATCGCCTGGCACATGGGACAAGAGCCCACGTGGTGTTGTACATCGGTCAACAGCTCTGGCCATTAGTAATACCGCTGTAGATGCTGTCACATTTTTTCTACCCCAAAATGTCCCGAGGTAATCCCGAAGTATGCCTCCTGCAGTAACAGCTCCCTCAGTAGTGAGTAGGCGGGTACCCAGATGCGGTTGGTGCATGTTTTTACGTAATAGACTCCTTTGGCTTCTGCTTGTTGCTGCGAATTTTCAGCCGTGAAAAATGGGTCGGTACTGTATCCATGGGTGAATAGGCCTGTTAACAGCGGGTTGGTTTGGGTGAGTAGGATGGCGTGTAGTTGGGCTGTGAGGCGTGTGAGTGCGTCGGCGATATTCGATGCGCCTTTTTTGTACGTGAATGTGTAGTGGAAGTTGGACTCTAGATAGTCCAACCAGCGGATCTGTCGCGGGTTGAGATTCGGTTGGGTGCGAAGGTACTGTAGCGATCGGTGGTCTGTCCGTACTGTCACGTCTGCTCCCGTGAGGTAACATCGCCACACTTTGAATGCGTGCACGATCGCCAGCATCTCGCGGTCGTGTATCGGGTAGTTGCGCTTGGGCGGGAGAAGCTTGCGGGACTCATACGCAATTGGCTGGAGGCCGTTCCCGAAGTCTTGCAACACTACTGCTCCCACAGTGATGTCGCTAGCATCGGTGATGAGCTCAAATGGACGGTGCGGATCTGCGATGTGAAGTACGGGCGGCGAGCACAAAATTTGTTTGAGGGCCGAGAAGAGAGGTTGCTCTTTCTCCCCCCACGTGTACTCAACCCCCTTCCTCAGCAGGTCGGTCAACGGAGCAGTCAACTTCGCCATGTCGGGGACGAACCGGCGCACGTAGTTGACGAACCCCAAAAAACTCTGCAATTCGGTCAATTTTGTTGGCGCGTGCCATGCTTGAATCGTCGCGATCTTCTTCGGGTCTATTTCCACTCCAACAGCTGAAATGATGTGTCCTAAAAACTCGATACTGTCCTGTAAAAACTCACGCTTCGAGACTTTGGTCAGTAGTGGTTTTCAATCAGTAATTTAAAAACTGCTTCGATGTCTTGTAGGTGTTGTACTCTGTCTGGGCTGTAAATCAGTATGTCATCGAGGTACACGATATCACACTTATCTAAAAACGGGCGGAAGGCTTCGTTCATGGTCATTTGAAAGGTGGCGGGGGTGTTGATCAGTCCGAAGGGCATGACGGTGTATTCGAAGGATTTGTAGTGTGTTTGGAAGGCTGTTTTCAGGCAGTCGGGTAAATTGACTCGGATCTGGTGGTAGCCTCCTCGAAGGTCGATTTTCGAGAAAACCTAGGCTGTTCGCAGTTAGTTGATCATTTCGTCGGCTCGCGGGATGGGGTAACGGGATTTGATGGTAACCCTGTTCCGTGCGCGGTAGTCGATGCACATGCGGAAACCCCAGTCCTTTTTCGGTGTGAACAGGATCGGTGCTGCGAAGGGTGATGAACTTGGGTGAATAAAATCCTTCTCGAGCAGGTAATCTAGCTGCTTCCTTAGTTCGTCCAGTTCGGTCTGGGTCAGCCGGAACTGTCGTTGTAGGCTATGCCCCCGGTTCTAACTCTATCCTGTGGTCGTGCGATCGCTGAGGTGGCAGTCCCGTTGGCAGGTCATCTGGAAATATCCCTCTGTACCGCTTCAGGAGTACTGCCAAATCATCGGGTACGTCGGCTAGCAGTTTCTGTAAACCCCCCGCTTTGTCTGCTGCCTCGGCTTTCCGAACGTCAACCGCGTACACGTCAGCTCCTGCCGCTACGGTGCGTTTCATCGTGATCGCGTTGACACGCACTAACGAAGACCCAGGCGAGTCCTAGCGAGGTAAGGCGGTGTTGTTACCATTCACTCGCACGGTGCAGTCACCCGTCGTCCATTCTATTCGCGGGTTGTGTCGTCGCAGCCAATCACGGCCGAGTAAAATGTCGTTTCCGTCGAGGATTGTCGCGAGCATTTCCTGACTAAACGTAAAGTTACCCCCGCAACAAAACTGAACCCGGTCTAGGCGTTCTCGTATCACTAGTGGCGTGCCGTCAACCAGACGTGCGTCGATCTCAGGTAAACATCTGTCCAGTGGCAGTCTCAGTTTCCGTGCTGTGGCGGTGTTGATCAGGCTGTGGCTGGCTCCCCCGTCAACAAGTCTGTCCCGATTTTCCCACTAAGTAGTATGGGGCTGTCTACCATAATACCCTCCTTATTCGGCCGAGTGTGGTCGATTGCGTGAACCGGCACAATCACTCGATGAGGGCCGGTTGGGTCGGACGAGCGGCGTGACCTGTCAGTAGAGGGCCCGTCTGCTACTGACTCGCAGTGTTTCCCTGCTGCTTGGTCTGTTTCTGCTGCTTTGGTTCCCCCTTTCCCTTAGCGTGTTCCGGGCATTCGCTCTTACAGTGTCCCGGCCGATTGCACGTGAAGCAGTGCCATTTGAACGGTGCGGCAGCGGCATTCGCGGCGACGGCACGTATCATAGTGCCCTCGTTCGTCCCACGAGATTGATGTCCCCAGTTACTGCTTTCGTAGGACCCCGGTCTTGGTCGAAGGAAAAAGTCGAGCTTCTCCGCCATGGCGAGAATCTCCTGAAAATCAGTGACGCCACGAAGCTGGATTTCTTGGGCGATGTCGTGCTTCAGGATGCCAATGTAGCGGTCGATACGCTCGCCACTTGCTGTATATGCCCTCGTGCATATATCCTACTTGCTCGCACTGCGCCAGAAACCCGCTAGTGTAGTCCTGGACGGAACCGAGTTGGCGCCAAGTGCGGAGCTTCTGACGCGCCGCGATCAAAGCCGCAATTGGCTCAAATCGAGCGCGCAGACCTGCGCACCACGCGTCCCACGTGCGATATTGGGGCACCTCCACGAAATACGACGGCGCCCAGGGTCCGGTTTGTCCTTCCCGTGTCAGTAGAGTTGCGTAGTCATTCGGCTTCGTAAAGGTGATACGCCACCAGTCCATGGCAGGTCCTCGCAGCAGCGACACGACGTAGCGAATTTTTGCCGTATCCTCCGAGACGTAGTTGGTGTCGAAAAACACGTTCATCGTGAACAGCCACGCCTGAACGGTAGGACCACCCCGTTGACTCGGATCGAAACATGGCGGACGCTGCGGCTTCAGTGACATCGTGACGCGCGGCTGGCTTCGGGCCGCATTCGTCGCCTCAGGGTGTGTCACGCCGTGGTCGTCGTCTCCGTCGTGGCGGACGACGCCATCACTAGCCGCGCTCGCGGGCCGCCCCATACTTCCGTGTTGCGATGCCTGTGGTGCGGGCTGTTTCGGGGTGCCAGGTGCTTGAGATTGTGCTTGCTGTACTTGTGCGACGTCATTTTGCAGAGACGTGCGTTCTGCTGTCAGCGCCGCGATTTCTTCAGAGCTTTCGCGAAGTTGCTGCAGCAGTTCGTTCAGACACTCCTGCGTGAGGGTGATGACGTCGATGTGCTCTGCCATTACGAAGGGCATCGGCTCATCTTAGTCTAGGCGAAGTCGTGGCTGCACGCGTTTACGAGAGAACGCGAGGACAACGGTTCCTAGGGGCTAAGGTGCGTGCGTACCTTCGAGTGAAAAATCAATAGTTGATATATGTTTTGCTTTATTGCATTTATAACAAGCAAACTAAACCTACTTCTTATTACGTGACTACGTTGGAGCATATCGCAACATAGAATATATATAATCACGGTGTGATTAATGATCTAACAGAATTGGATGAGTGAATTCCAGCATCAATGTTGGCCGCCAAAGCCGACTTGAGTGAAATGGCTGTTTGTCTGCAAAGTCAACACAACAAACAAACAAGATACAGAAATACTCATTAGACGGCTTCAAACCAAACCAACATAATATAATATGCTACATGAACACCACCGTATGCAGTAACATCTTATATGACATGTAGGTGCACGTCCCTACGCACAAGAAATCACACAGCCATACCCCTCCCCCCATAACCACACACACGTACCACTCACATGAAATTCACAGCCATGTTGCTGCTGGCTGCTGTCACTGCAGCAGGAGGTTCTAGAGTAGACTGTAACACATCACTCACACCAACCCCACACTTACACACACACACACATACATCACTCACATGCACTTTGCTGCCATGCTGCTGATGGCGGCCTTTGCTGCAGCAGGGGGGGTCGCACCATCCCACCGCACCTCCGCTAGGAACACCGACACCGACTTGACATCCGTGGCTCCATACGCGTTGTTGAGCACCGCAATCAGATCTGATCCTGAAAGATCCGTTATTGCCGAGGTTCCAGGCTTGCTACCGGTGGTGATGCTGCTGCTGGTGCCGATTCCGAACAGCTTGGCAAGTGGGCTGACTGTCTTGACTGGCGCTACTGCCCCCTTGTTGACTCCGTTGACTTGGGTCTCCTGGTTCAGCAGCGCTAGTGAGTCGGTATCAGCAGCATTGACTCCATTGACTGAGTTGGCTGAGTTGACTCCAACCCAGTTCTCCTTGAGAGTAGTGCTGAGCAGCTGATTGGATAGCTTGGGTTTGCGGGAGGAGGTGAGGTAAATGTTCGAAAAGGATATCCCAGAGCATGGCACCGATTGGCTGCAGTTTAGAAGCACGCCGACCGTGCCATTCGCCGTGCCACGGATGTTCTTGTAACGGATGTTGGTAACCGCTACAGCCGTGCTACTGAGCTTGCAGCTACTGGCCGAAGCCGTCTTCTTGTCGCAATAGAACTGGTTGATGAGAATCGGCCATGTAACGTCGGTTACGGTTACGTCCTCATATGTTACATTGCTTACGAGACCCACTCCCTGCTGGTAGGTCTTGATTCGGAGGCCGTTGTTGGACCCCCGTAAGCTCACGTTCCTTACTGTCACGTCGGATACGCACCCCAGCTCCCCGTCACCGCCCAGGCTGCCGATGCTGGGGGGGTTATAGTGGGAGAAAGGAGATAGAGGGATGGAGAAAGGGAGGGCTATAGAAGACAGAGACAAGGGAGAAAGACTGCTGGATTATAGAAACAGTGGGCAGGGATATAGGGCGGATAGGAATGAGGCTTAGCACAATCGACATGGTTAGCATGTCCTACATGCGTGACAGTGCAGCCTCTTAATTACCTATCATACATGATTGCGCAATCATACCTTATGCCGTGCCCATTGATACACTGCGTATTCTCCACAAGGATGTTTCGACACCCGGTAATGATGGCAACATTGTCGTCGCCTGGAGAGGGGTGGTTGTGAAAACATAGACAGGGGATGATTGGCGATGAGACAAATGTTTCGGTCCAGTAAGTTACAATGCCATGATGGTTACACGGTTACAATGTAACGATGGTCATGTTGCCGTCTCAAATCTCCCTTTTCTCTCACCTCCTCCCTTCTCACCTCCCACTTTCCTCCCTCATCCTTTCTTGCCTCCTCCTTTTCTCTCACCTCCTCCCTTCTCACCTCCCACTTTCCTCCCTCATCCGTTCTTGCCTCCTCCTTTCCTCTCACCTCGTCCTTTTCTTACTCGCCTCCTCCTTTCCTACCCATCTCATACTTCTTTTATTCTCACCTCCTTCCAGTCTGCTGTTGCGCACGATGCCGTTCACCACCCCGCTGAGAAGAATGCTGTCCGTGTTGGGGCTGTTATATGGGGAAAGTGTAGCAACTCTCTCTAAAAGCACATCAGTAGTTCCGTATATCTTCACGTGCTGTCGTGCTGGGTTGCTGCAGAAAAAAATGGTGGGGGGTTACAGAAGAACAAGAAACGGCTATTAGATGACATGGATACATGCAATAAACATGTAAACATGTGATGTTGTCTCCGTAAGCATCACAAGAAGTGTGCACCACACAAAAACGAATGTGTACTCATCCTTACGTGAACAGCATATCGCGAATCGTCACTCCGTCGCAATTAGTGATTGACAGAAGCGCCGGCCGCTGCTGCCCGGGAAACTTCCAAAATCCCTGCCCCGCGCCGTCCATCACTCCGCCGCCCGAAATCTCCAGATTCGATATCCGGTTGAACAGTAGCAGCGCCCACGAGCTCGGTTTGGCAGGTTTCGGATAGCTGCTGACGTCAGCGGCGCCTGTGATGACGCCATTGACCTTGGGATTGGGAATGGGGGAAAGTGACAGAGAATGGGCGAGAAGAGAGTAAGCTACAGAGAGGGGAAAGTTGAACTGGGAGGGGGTGAATGAGTGAGTGAGGAAGCGTGAATGAGCGAGAGCGAGGAAGGAGTGGGTCGTTGGAAAATGAGAATCAACGGGTGGGGGGGGAGGAGGAGAAGGTTGGGAGGAGGAGAAGGTTGGGAGGAGGGGGTGGGGAGAGGGGGGCAAGATGTGGGGAACGGCGAAGGGGAGGGGAGGGGAGGGGAGGGAGGAGAGCGGGGAAGGACGGGGAGGGAAGGGAGGAGGAAAGGGCAGCTATTAGGCAAGAACAGGAGAGAACAGGGCGGAACAAGTGTTGTACTCACCACAAATTGTAGTCCGCTCCTGCAAGGCCCCTTCAAATACATGGGGTAAATTAGGAACTTCCCCTCAGCAGGAACGACCATCCGCGCCGCACCGCCCCCTGCCCCTGTCCCCGGGTCCTCTTCCGCTCCCGCGCCCGCGCCGTTCCCCGCGTCCGCGTCCGCGTCCGCAGTCCAGGCGCATGCGGCGGCGAACGTGCGGAGGAACGCATTCGTGTTGTCCGTCTTGCCATCGCCTTTCGCGCCGTACGCCACGACGCTGAAATCCTTCCCCGCCGCAGGCAACGGCACGTCCCCCGGCACGTTTCCCGGCGCTCCAGGCGGCGGCGATTTTTGCGGCGCTCCAGGCGGCGGGCTTCGCGGGACAGGCGGGAAAGACGGGGAGGTGAATGGTGGAGCGGAAGCCCCGAATGGCGGGGCCTCTTCCCCCCTGATCGATCCGAGCGGGGGGGGATTCGAAGGCGGAGCAAGAACTCCTCCTTGGGGGGGATTCGGTACTGCTGGCGGGGAATTGGGCGGGGATTTCGGGAGTTTCGGGGATTTCGGGGGTTTCGGGGGAGACTTGGGGGGTTTGGGACTCTTAGGCGGCTTTGGCGACTTGGGTAGTTTAGGAGACTTCGGAAGTTTAGGAGACTTCGGAAATTTAGGAGATTTAGGAGGCTTGGGCGGGCTTTTTGGGGCTTTCGGGCTCTTCGTAACCTTAGGATCCTGGGGAAGTTTGGGTGGAGATTTTTTTGCGGTCGTGGCGATTGAAGTCGAAGCGCCCCCGCCGCTTTTCTGCATGACGGTTTTAAGAGCGTCGATTATGGGGAAATTCGTCGCGAGGGATCGGCGAGCCCTTCGCGAAGAGAAAACCTCGGCGAGAGATCGCAGGCTTCGTCGCATGATGTGGCCTGTCGCCCACGGTCTCCGCACCGGGGCGTCAAGCGCAAGCCCCGTTCTGCCCGCCGCATTGCCCGCCGCATTTTCCGCCGCTTTGGCCGCCGTATTGCCCGCCGCTTTACTCGCCACGTCGCTCGCTACATTGCTCGCCGCTACTGCCCCCACCGCTACAAGATCAGCATCTGTTGCGCTTTCCCCCAGTTGAAGTTCCGCCGACTGCTGCGCTGTCCCCCCCACTTGTGCGGCTTTTTCCACCGCTTGCGCGGGTTCCGCGGCGGGCCGGCGGAAGACATATCTGGCGGACGACCACGAAAGGGGGAACGTGGCGGAAAGAACCGCCAGGGAGACGATGAGGAGGATAGGCAGCGCGAGGAGCACCGTTGCGAGAGAATGCGACGCGGGCGACAGTCGCGGAGACGTCGCTCGTCGCATGGGCGACGTGGATTGCTCCCGTTCCATCGGCCGTTGCGCCTGCGGCGCCGACGATGTTGCCGCGTCGCTCGACGGAGTCAGGGACTGCCGAAAGCGAGGAAATCTGCACGGCATAATGAAGAAGCAGACAGACTCGATCTGATTCTGGATAGATTTGCGAATCCCTCGCGTGTATCAGCGTCTGTTCACGTTGCCTTCCGATTCAGTCCTGTTGTAACGCTATTGCAAAAGCTTAGCTTGACTACGGATGAACTACGGAAAAAACAATCTATAACCAAATTGCGTGGATCTGTATATAACGGTAAGCTAAACACGCGGGCGCCGAATTCCTGAACTCGCTCTAGCATCTGAATTTTTGCGCTGCGGAAGCGAAGAGGCGGGACCAGATGCGGGACTGCAAACAAAGCGAAGAGCTATTGTGCCAAGCATGCGCATATCACGCATCACACAGAAAGCGAGACAGGTTTACTATCAGACAGCCCGTGAGCCTGCATCCCCCCTGCGACCCGTTTTTCTGATTCCAATAGAGACTTCCTAACGCGATCTTGTGAGCTAATGACCACATGGGGACTGTAGGTGCCACACTACGTTCCGTAGGAAGAGATTTCGCCTGCCGATGTGTGATTTCGCCTGCGGAATGTCGCACGGGCGCGGGGGTCTGTTACGACGAGCCTAAGCTGCTGCTTTTGACTCAGAAATTCTGAGGCGCCTCAAAAGCAAAATGGCGTATGCGTGACCCCACGACGACGACAAGTGAAACGTGCTAGAGGCCAGGTAACGACTGTTGATCACTGTCCTAGACTAACACTCGGATAGTCCACCAACGAAGCGCGTTTCCGACTTGGCAATGGCATTCTCGTGGGGCAGAGGTACTCTTGACTTTGGTTTGATCGTCGTGGTTGGTGAGAGTCCTAAGACTCCTAGACTCCAAGAGGCGAAGGGACGGCATCTAAGCACTCGTCGCTTTGCCCGTTTCGCGGTCGCCAGGGCTGCAATCTACAGCTGGCGGGAGGAAGGCCTTACCAGTGCGCTTTCAGACGCGGCTCGTCGGTGGGGAGAGCGGATCAGAAAGGTATCCGAGGAGACTCATATGGGATAGCAGGCGCACGCGACCCGAACAAGGCCGCGGCCCGAAGAAGGCAAAATTCAGGGCTGGCTTTTGCGAGCGCGAGCAAGCAAGCTAAGGGCTGGGGGGGCGAGGTAACAAAACTGGGAACTCCAGGTTTGCGAAAATGTTAGATGCTACAAAGGAGGGAGCGGTGCGAAAGAGGTGTGTGTGTGTGAGTTGTGTTGTGGTTTGTGAAATCCGCGCTCGGGTCGGCTTGCTGAGCCAACACAGCTCGACAAACGAAAGGTGCATAAGGGGCAAGCGAAGGCGCAAAAAGGGGCCAAGTGAAATGAGATCCGCAAACATTCGTTTGTATGGAATGGCGTGTGTGCAAACAAGTGCTACTCTCTCTCTCAGTTGATTTGCGCAATTCTGGTTTAATCCGGCTAAATATGTTGGGTTTTGCCTCTTCAGGGGCAGAGTGCGGGAGCAAATTTTGTGCACCTGTCCGAGAGTATGGGTGGGGGAAACGGAGGCTGCCCACTTTCTGGTGCCTCGACGAATCAAATGTTGTCGGTTGCGCCTTTGAAAACGCGTTGAATTTGCGCATTGAAGTTCCGCTTGAATTGCGCGCTTTCCTTCGGCTGGCCATGGGGTGGGGAAACCCGTGCATTGAAACCTGATTGGTCTCTCGAGGCGCCAGGAGAGCCTTCAATGCTGGCGGCAGGGGCTACCAGGGGCCCGCCAGTCCCGGCGCAATGTGCGACTCCCTTTCTACTGTATTGGCCAAGAGCAAGCCGAAACGCAGGTGTAACAACCACGGGATAAATGCGGCACGGGAGGAAGACCAGATCGCTCGTTTCTATCACCAGGTACTGCGGTTGGGTGATTGAATGTGATGCATAGAATGTAACGCTTGAATTGAAATTCTTTTCAATTCAACCAATTTCTATTCTATAGCAACTACACCAAGGGATGGAAAATGAAACATTCATGCTTTAGAAACCGTTCTTCGGACACAATTTGAGAACCAGGTAAATGGACCTCATTCCAGAATATCTGTTGGAAACAAGTAATTTGAACGCTTCTGTTATGTGTCGAAACACTAAGTCATAAACGAGGCGAAGTACAACGAAGCATCGGCGAGTCAACACTTGGAGGTTGAGAAGTGAAGAAACCGCTGGAGGTTACGCGAAAGTCAAAGGTCTGTGACCTTTGACCTGACAAGTACAGCGCGACAGCAAGGACAAACAGCGGACTCGTTATTGAGCAGTTGCCCAAGTCGTCACTGTATCGAACCGCAACAGCAACAGTAAAACAGTTATCAGTTGCATCTTTTCATATTCCTTGTACTCTTATAAAAAGCCTTGTATCTCTTTGATTAATCAGTCTACTTTGCCCTCACATACCAGCGCAAGATGGTTCAAAGACTTATCATTATACGCTTCCGCATTTACAACAAATCCCACCCAGAGTTTAGCCTTGCAAAGATCCTAGGGGCTTTTTCAGCCCAACATGGTATGAGAGCTATCAGGGCAAACTCAACAATTTCAAAGACACCAACAACGTCAGAAGGCATAGCAACACAGAAGGAGAGAAGCTCCTCTAACGGCTCTCCCGGTACTACTCCCACTCCACCTCCTGCCTCTGGCCTACAGACAGAGGAGGGCACGGCAACAAGACCAGCAGCCGGGTCTACCGAAACTACCAGCAAGCCGCGGGCTTCGACCCAAGCATGATGGAGAAGTTCTTCTCCTTCATGTCCTTCTACGAACAACACCACCAAGGAGCACCTGCGCAGTCAAACAACAGCAACAACAACAACAAAAACGTGACACCGATGAGCCTCGACGGTTCATCCTACGCGCGAGAAAATTAGCAACAACAACCTACCTTCGCCCCGTACGAACCCCAGCGCGGTTCCGTCAGCTTCATGCCACGCCAGCAGCCTTCAGCTAAGCAAGAGAAGACATTGGATGCACTTCAAGTTCAGTCGCAGTTTGCGCACATCGTGAAACTGCAAACGTCAAGACCATTCGACGGAAAGGATTTCTTTACCTGGTCATTCGAGTTCGAGCTCATGATGGAAGGCGCGCAAATCCTTGGATTCTTCAATGGGTCCCTGCCATACCCAACATACGGGACGCAATATGACAAGCAGCAGTACACATATCAGTCCATGATGGCGTACACAATTCTACTGCGCAACATCACACCAAACCAGCAGCAGAACATCCGGTCGTATCGGGGATACGGCAACTCCGCCGAACTTGCGTACAACCACTTGAAGAACCTGTACCAAGCAACAGACAGCGTCAGTCAATGTCGATTAATGGCACAGCTGACAACAGTGGAAATGAAGCCTGGTGAAAAGGGAATGGCGTATATCAGCCGTTGTCGCGAATTAAGCGACAAACTTCATCGATGCGAAGGCTCAATATCTGAAGACGCCTTCGTGACAGTCATCATCGGCGGCCTCGGTCCTCAATGGCGCTCCATTCGAGCCATCCTCCGAGCCCACGGAAAAATCTCCGAAGCAGCACTCTGCGCCGAGATTCACGCTGAGTAGCAAGACATGGACCTGCAAGAGGAGCGGCACAAGAAGAAATCAGTACCCGAATTTGCATTGCACACTCAACGACGCTACAACAAGAACAACAACCGGCATCAACCAAAACCCGTGCCTCCATCCTGACATTTCTGTAAGACGTCCGGACACCTCCGTACACACTGCCCGAACCGACAGCAGCCAACGCCACCACGTCAACTTCGCCCCTCAAGCAGCCAAGTAGCGTCCGCACAAGCGCACCCTACCAGTTAGACGCAATCTTCAACTACTTCATCGACACAACCTGCACGAGGAGCAAGAAACATCGTCAGCTTCATGGCGAGATTGACCGACTCCTGCATCACCGAGTCACCACCGCATTACTCACCAGAAGAGCAACTCAACAACAGTACCCCTCGCCGCGAGTCACTTCAACCGAACCCGACGTATGCAGCCATCGCTCAAAGCGAGCCGTCCGGGAAACACACTTGGTTCTTAGACAGTTGATGCGGGCAGCATGTGTGCTCTTCGAGTCGTTTCGTTCAACGAGAATATCAACTTCAACGCGAAGTTGTCATCACCGTCGCCAACAACCAGAACCTGTCCACACGATGACAAGGCGTGGTTTAACTTCAGTCACGGGAGACGAACGTTATACTACAGATGTCGAAGGTCTTAATAGCAGAAAGACTCGGCTACAACTTACTAAGCGTCAGTTAGCTGATGGCAAAAGGCATCCATCTCGAAGCAGACAGCACCACTCAGGAGTTCAAGCTGTACCACGGGAGAGGAGGACTTTACATCGGGAAGGCGGTCCTGAAGAATAACTTCTTCGTCCTCGACTTCGTTCCAGATCTAGGCACCGCCGACAGCGACGGAATCGTCACCTTCACCTCCTGGATGCACCCACCGGTTCTTGATCCTGACTTCAGCCCCGAAGGCTTCTGGTATTCGCACACCATTCTTGAGGCAGAACGAACAAGAGCATTAGCAACGATTCAACACTCGGCAGCAGCAGAGACAACATCGGCAGCAGCAGAGACAACATCAGCAGCAGCAGAGACAACATCGGCATCAATCGCGGGTCCTTCAACTGCACCAGCCCCAATCGACGACGACACTCCACCGACTCCTGCGCAGCAACTGAACCCAACACCACGAGAAGTCCATCAAAGCGCGAACTTCACCGCAGGCTTCTACTCCAACTCCGACTTATACCGTCGCTCACCCGGACATCGAGCTGGCGAAGATATCTGGCATGCACGAATGGGAAATCCAAGCAAGACGGTGTTAAACAACACAATCAGAGCAGGCGTCCTCGACAAAGACTCACTGCTTCTAACCGACGGAAGCGAACTTCGTCGAGCTCGCGGAACGTGCTTTACCTGCCCCCAAGCCGACTTCCCACATCGGCCGTTTGTATTTCATCAC